TTGATTTTTTGGGGGGATAGTGTTAGGGTTAGGACTAGTCCCATTGCTGGGACTTTTAATATTCAAATCATATTTTATTTCACTGCCATTTAGACTAATAGCATAATGTCCACACCATAGCTGATGAAGAAGTATACTTCAAATGTCAGGATATGAGCATCATCAATCATGTGAAATGGAAAGGAAATGTAAGATCAATCTTTTCTGGCTTTCCACTAAGTATATTTAATTTCCATATTGTCTAATTCATTTATATGCTTTCTCAGGTAATTCTCACTGCCCTAAATTTGACACACAGGTGGCTGTGTCACACATCACCTGACTCTACATACAAGCATCTAATTACTTAGCCAATGAGTACCATAATTGGCAATTTCTCTGAACACGGACTTTTATGGTAACTTAGTTGCAGTATCTTTAAAAATCTAAATTCTATGCATTGCTACAACTGAATTTTAATATAGTAGGAGAAAATGTCTACATGATTATCAGCTCACCACTGCCAACTAAGAAGAGTGTATCAGAGTTCTCTAGATTTCTCTAGAGCAGTTCCTCATGTTGTGGTGACCTCTAAGCATAAATTTATTTTTGTCCCTTACAAGAGAATCAGTACCCTTAACTTTCGAACCATCTCCCCAGCCCTATCATTGCCATTGGTTTTACTTATACTTTCCAACTCTAATTTTAGTTACTTGAATGATCCTTCCTTTCCCCCTTAGTTTATTTTGCTGAATTTTTTTTTGGTTTGTTCATCTTTTAAAAAGCAAATTTTTGTTTACCTCTGTTGATTTTGTGTCTCTGTTCTATTTTATCGACTATTTATAATCCAATTCTTTCTATTTGGTTTAGGTTCAGTCAAATTTTTCTCTTTGAGGTATGAAATTGGGATGTTGGCTTATTTTGTTTATTATTACTGTATTTGTGTATGATGTGTATATACACACATGGCATGGCACACTTGGCGTGCAAGTCAGAGAACAAGTTTTGGGGATCAGTTCTCTTGTTCTGCTGTAGTTTTCATGTGTTAACTTGAAGTTGTTAGAGTTTCATAGCAAAGGCTTTTATGCTCTGAACCATCTCACTAGCCCTAATCTCTATTTTAATGTGCTTGGATTTTTTGTTTTGTTTTCAGACAGGGTCTTAGATAGTTTTCTGGAACTCTATCTGTAGCAAAGTAGATTTCTTTACATTTATTTATTTACTTTGGTTTTTTTTGGAGGGGTACGGGGTTTCTTTTTGTAGCCTTGACTGTTGTAGAATTTTTCTGTAGGTTAGGCTGGCCTTAAACTCAAAGATCAACCTGCCTCTGCTTCCTGAGTGCTGGGATTATAGGCATGTACCACCACACCCAACTTTAAAAAATATTTATTACGTGTGTGTGCATATATGTGTTTTTGCATGCACATGTGTATGATGTGTCAAAGTGTCCTATGCCAAGGTCAGAGAACAAATTTCTGGAGTTCTCCTACTGTTTGAGTCCTGGAAATCTGATTTGGGTCATTATGCTTGTGCAAAAAATACCTTTGTGTTATGAGAGGTTCTTTGTCCCACCAGCCTGGTCCCACCGCCATTTCAGTCCCAAAGAAACACACAGATGCTATATTAACTATAACGCTGCTGGCTGATGACTAGGGCTTCTTATTGGCTAGCTCTGTCTTAATTATTAACCCATTTCTATTCTATGTATTTCCACATGGTCTTATCTTTTTGGAGAATGCCTAGTGTGTCCTTTCTTCCCGGTCCTTACATGGTGACTGTTCTGGCAGGCCCTCTCTGCCGACCTTTCCCAGATTCTCCTCATCTCCTAGTCCCACCTATCTCCCTGCCTCTATTGGCCACAGTGTTTTATTCATCAACCAATAAGAGAAACATATATACAGAAGGACAACCTCCATCACCTTTACCCACTGAGCCATCTTGCTTTCCCTATAATTCTTTTTCAATGTACATGTTCATGTGTTAACTTTCTTCATAATATTATTTTTGCTTCATCTCTTAATAGATTAAATGTGTTTTCATTTTTAATTTGTCTCAGGGTTTCTTCTAATTTCTCTTAGGAGTTTTTTAACCTATTTGTTTTTTAATAGTATCTTTTTAAATTTATTAATCCGTGGATTTTCTACTTTTCCTTGTGCCATTCATTTCTAGTTTCCTTATGCTGTAATCAGAAAAAAATGCTTTTAAATTTCGCTAAGATATCTTATGGCCTAACATGTGGTCTATCCTGGGGAGAGAGTTCCATGTGCATTTGAGAATAGATATGAGCCAGATATGATAATGCAGGCCTGTAATCCCAGCAGTAGGAAGGCTGAGGCAGAAAGATCACAAGCTAGCCTGAGATATGGAGTGAGTTCCACATCTGCTTGAGCTATATCAAGAGGCCTTATCTAAAGTTTTAAAAAGAGAATTAGTTCATTATTCATAGAAGTATTTCATATAAATGTTAAGGCTTGTCATTTTCATTCATTCAGAAGTTACATGGGTCAGAACTATATTCCTACTTTATATTTGACTTCTTTTTTCCCTTTCTTTTCATTTCCTCTCTTTCTCTCTCTCTGTTGTTGGAGAATGAGCACAAGGTGACAGCTGCCCAATGGTTATCACATTTCCCGTGTATAGCATGAATTTTAGATTTAAGAGTATGAAATGCTGAAGCTCTCTTTGCTTTTCAGCTCAAATCTCATTCTCCATGTTCTTAGTAAAGCTTGTGGCTTACGTTTGATAGTGAAGTTGAATCAATTCTATGTTTAAGGCTTCTACATGTTTCAATCTATCACATATGCCCACATAATCACTATTACAAGCCCCATTCATTTCTCCTTACTCCTAGCAAAGTTAAACTTCAGGCAAAGCCCTATTATGTACCTTTCTCAGTCTCAAATGAGAAGAATGGTTACTGATCTTTACTCATAATCTATTCATTGTTTCTTTCTAGATCATAATTTATTTGAAATTACTTTTGTACTCACACTTAATAGATATTTTTCCTTTATGTTATATATTTTCTTGTTATAGTGAGAGAAAGGGTTTTGGTGGCTTTCTATATTCTAGCTAGTAGAACTACCCGATCACATAGTATTCACTTAGGAATTGGGATAATTCAAGTTTAGGCTTCTAGTCCCTATATAGTTGTCTTAGTTAGAGTTTCTATTGCTGTGATGAAACACCATGACCAAAAAGCAAGTTGGGGAGGAAAGGGTTTATTTGGCTTACACTTCCAGATCATAGTACATCACTGGAGGAAGTCAGGACAGGAACTCAAACAGGGCAGGATCCTGGAGGCAGGAGCTGATGCAGAGGCCATGGAGGAGTGCCGCTGTCTTGTTCCTTCTGCCTTCCTCAGCCTGCTTTCTTATAGAACCCAGGAATACCTGCCCAGGGCTAGCACCACCCACCACAGACTCGACCTTCTCCCATTGATCATTAACTGAGAAAATGAATTATAGCTGGATCTCATGGAGGCATTTCCATAACTGGATCTCCTTCCTCTCTGATGACTCTAGCTTGTGTCAAGTCGACACACAAAACCAACCAGTACAATAGTGTCGTTCTATTTTTGTTCCTAGTATGTTTACCGTCATATAACTGAGAACACTTCACAGGGCTTCTCTACCCTTGCATGTCCTTAGCTATAATTTTGTCATCTAGAACTCATCTGTATTTTGAAAACTCTTTGCAACTTCTTATCCTATATAAGTTTCCTCATTTAGAAACAGCCTTTTCTAGGAAAACTGGATTTAACTGTGAGGCTCGTCTCTGAAATTTTCTCCCTCTTTAGTGTTGGCCCTGCCATTACTTATTGTCTTCAGTTTTTTCTGTAAGTGAGTTTTTAATTGTTTTTAGTAGGAAGACCTGTTATCACAGCTAGTTCATTATCAGAGGCAAAATCTCTATCATAAGCTTTAGATATCTATGGTTTTACCTTGGTTCTAGTATTTGAGTTTTGGTCAGCTGACAGAAACTCTGTAGTTTCTTCTGTGAATTTATGGAAATGTATGTTCAAATATGGTATAGTGTTGGGACCATTTCTGCTTATGTACCAAGGTACCTTATGTAACAAGGCACCTTGTTAGTTGGCAACCTTGTTAAGAAAATTAAGAGCAGCAGACTTGACTTCTTCAGTGTTTCTAGACCTATCATTAATAATAACCACTGTGTTTTACTCCCTAAAGTGGCATTCTCCAAAGGCTACTATTATATATTGTTTCATTAGCTCTCCCCTGATTATGTGAATATGGATAAGTGAAGGATAGTTGTAATGTCTTTTCATGTATGTTTCATCTAAGTAATGATTTAGGGTCCAAAGACACTTTGGTGGGTAAGGAGAGAAAGCAGAGAACTAGATCTTGTTCTAATTTACTACCATGTACCCATGGATTTCATAATGTAGAGGGCCCCAAGACTGGATCCTCCACTGACTCCACTGTTAATGTAGAGTTTAGGCATATTGGGAGTGAGAAATAAATACACGTAGCTTGACAGACCAAGCCTGTCTGTACCATCCATTCTATAATGAAATGGAAGTATGTGTAAACATCTTACCTAGTTTTATTCATAGACGAGAATAAAAATTGAGGGATGCTAGTTATTTGTGTCAATAGTTCCATCTACAAAATGACTCTGATAATGTCACTAGAATGTCTGCATTAGAGTCAGTTTATCAGCTTCATGCAACTTATTGACTAACAGCAGTATTAGTTGTTTCTTTTATTTGGGCATCTGGCCATATTGATTTTGAATTCCTAAAGGTTTCTGTGAAATTTGCAAAAATGGATTCATATTCTCTAAAGGACTAGAGAATAATGAGTATACAAATAGACTTCTAATTTGCTCTTCTGAAAAGCCCAATTTAAACTCTGTCCACTTTCAAATTGAGTAACTTAATGAATTATAGTAATATGTAATCTTTGAAGCACTTCATATTCCAAAGTCTCAGTTAAAGTGTAAAGAACTTATTTTAATTAAGGGACAAAATGTGACCAAAATTGGTTGTCTTGCAGGTATGAGAGAATTGAAATTCCAATCCATATTGTACCTCATATCACTATTGGGAAAGTATGCCTTGAATCAGCAGTAGAGCTGCCAAAGATCCTGTGTCAGGAAGAACAGGATGCATATAGAAGGATTCACAGGTAACAACTTTTAGTGGTTCTTGTTAACTTCAGTGAAGACCCTTTATCTTCTAGCAGCTTAGCTCTTGAGTCCCCTTTTGAGCATCACAGCAGCTTCAAATCATGTTTCTCATACTATATTATAATGATATCTTTAATATTACTATCTTGCCTCATATATTTTGGATCCTTTGAAACAAAACATGTTTCCTTTTCTGGTTGTGAAAATAAACCATAACATCCTAGTGGTCCCATTGTGTAGTACTTGCCCTTGTCTACTAAATGCATAGTATATTAAGAGCTTCATCCAGTGGGAGATAGTAATTTCATAATTATATATTTGAATTATCTTTTGAATTTTTAAATAAGACCATATCCCCCAAATAAATTTAAAATGAACAATGGTGGGAATTCAAATCATTATGTTCATCTAATCCAATTGGTAAAGGTTTGATGCAGATTATGATTTTGCTAAACACCTGACCATTTTGTTTCTGTTTTTTTGCTAACCTAAAGTACCTTTTCTCTTTAGCCTTACACATCTGGACTCAGTAACCAAGATCCATAATGGCTCGGGTAAGATATTTTTTCTTCTGGGGTATATGAAGTGATCTCTGACATACTCATTTTATTAGAAACAATTTTACTTTATCTTGGAATTTTCTTCTCAAGAAATATAACTAATATTGCTCCTTACATTTTTTGTAACCCTACAGACCCTTAAATACTATAAATGTGGCCTCATGATAAGACAGAAGGAAAACTAGAAAAGCTTTTTTATAAACTAGCACAGTGGTTTTCTGGTATGTCTTTAAACACTACCTCTTAAGGAATCCAAGTTTCCATAGTATTCCATAGCATTGATGCTCAGTAACTTCCAGAAATTTTAGCAATATGCCATTATGAGCTGGTTTTATCACATTACTACCAACCTATTTTAGTAAGAGTTGGAAGAGATAGGCAGGTAGAGGAAAGGGAATACATCAGGCAGGAAGTGAATAAATAGAGAAGGAGTTCCTGGGTTAAGTCTAAGGAGCAAAAAACTCAGTATAGTAGACCACCCTGTTCTCAAATTCACAAAGATCTGCCTGACTCTGCCTCTCAAGTGCTAGGCTTAAAGGCATGTACCACAACAACCAGTGGAAAGATTTCTGATTGGTAGGCAACTTCTTTGTGAAGACAAAAAGGGAAACATGGCTTCGTATATCACCTCATATTTATCTCAATAAAACATGACAGAGAGTTAAGATTGGTAATATATGGTATACAGCCATACTCTAAAATCACAATAAATTAAAAAAATATAGTAACAACTCAAACATAGACAAACTGATCAGTATACCTGGACAGTGCCTAGAGACAGGCGCATGTATATGAAAGAATTCATATTTAATCAAAAATTTCAAATTAGTGATGGATAGGTTATTCACTAAATAGCATCCATTCATTTGTTTATTCATAAAAAGAAAACATTTAAGTACCCTTTCCCTGCTAGATAGTCTCTAGGCACAAGACTATACTGCTGATCAAAAGAAACAAGCTTTAATTTCCATGGACTTAATTCTGTTTCCATTTGAGGAGACAGTAGAGTCCTACTGGAGAAAAGATTCCTTATGTGCTTTCTTAGCCCTTTCACTTGAAGAAATGAAGAGCTAGCCATCTTCCTACTTTTTATTTTTTGCATAGTTAGATTTTTATTTGGCTTATGGATCTAGAACTTCAGAAAATGTATCTGCTTTGCTCAACTCTTTCCCCCTAGTTGACTACTGAAAATCATTTACCAGTCCTACTTATTGTACGTTAGCCCTTTTTCCTGTGCCCAAAACTAAGGTACTGTTGGTAATATAGTAGGAACATGCCAGTGGATACTACTTTTCATAGTTATCTGTTTTTTCTTTTCTTATTGAAGTGTTTACTAAGAATTTATGCAGTCAGATGTCAGCAGTCAGTGGGCCTCTACTTCTGTAGTTTGAGGACAGATTAGAACAAAACCAGCAGCATTTGCAGGAGTTGCAACAAGAAAAGGAAGAGCTTATGGAGGAGCTGTCTTCCCTGGAGTAAAGCAAGAGGACAAAAATGTGGTAATTTTTTTTTTCAGTTTATGTGCTGAATATGCTACAAAACTACATATGACTTCTATGTAGGCAGATAATTCAGGAGCACTTTTTATACCCTAAAAAACAGTTTTATGTATATAAAAGCACAAGATGTCTTCCTAAAATTTCCCCAGAGCTTATAGAATCCACTTACTTGTAGCTGCTGCAAAAGAAAACATTCAGGATGATTTAAGCAGAATATGAAAGTTATTTTGTAAGGAGTATAGGAGGTACATTAGCAAAGGGATATCTGGGAATAAAATATCTGATGAGTTTATTTTAAATTTTAAAGATATTCTATTTTGTTGAGCCAAAGTGTCAATGTGTATCCTTAGCTGCCCTGAAACTCACTATATATACCTCACTAAGCTGTCCTCAAACTCAGTATCCACCTGTCTCTGCCTCTGTAGTGCTGGGATTAAAGGAATGTGTCACCTACTATGCTTGGCATTAAATATTTATTCTCAATGAAAATATCTGACATAAGCTTTTTTTGAGACAATGTCTCATTACATAGCAGTGGCTGATCTGAAACTCAAAGAAATCCACTTGCTTTTGCTTCCTATATGGTGGGATTAAAGATGAGCAATAGCAACACAAGCTTTTAAGACTTTGAAGTCTTTATTTTTATTTTCAGATAGATACATCCTATATAATAAGATAAAGGAAGAACACCTATTTTATAGTTTGATGTTTTTGCTAGGCAAGTTAAATCCTAAGTACTGTAGGGTTAATGGAAAGACATATAGGTGGCTCATTGGCACCCACTTCTGTTGATTATTTTCGCTTAAAATCATGTTTCAGGACTTCCTTCTTGATCTCTGAATACATATTATGAGATATCTAAATTTCTATCTGTGAGGATGCTCTTTTAAACAAACAACTGAGCTATAGCTTATTTGAGTCTAAAACAAATTCTTACTGATTACTATCTTGTGTTTTATTATTCATTCATATGTAGCCACTAATTGTATATGTGTCTTCAGAAAAAAGTTGAGCCTGTTGAATACTGAAAACTAAAGTGGGAATTGGAAAAAGAGTAAAAAGAAAGAAAACAGATAATAACAGTCCAAACCACAGTGATAAGTGGGGTTTTTGGTTTGTCTCCTTATTTTCCTCTAGATTGTTTTTAAAAATCATAGAACCACTCGTATCAGAATCACTTCTGAAGTTCAAAGTTCAAATTTGGTCTAAATTTGAGGCTAAAACCAAGAAATCTACATGATCTACTTACCTGATTCTGAAGCATACTTATATTTAAAAACAAATATTCTTAGGGCATATAGACTATAAATGCTGTATTTTCTCTAATTTCCTTCTACTATAATTATTCTTTATTCATTTTCTTTTTTATAGGGCAGATGAAAATACCGGGCATACAATTTATTAAACTAAATCAATTTTGAAAAAAAGTTGGAGGACCCACATTATATAACTTCAAGACTTACTATAAAGCTGCAGTAACCAAGATACTATGATATTTGCAGAAGAATAGAAGTATAAATCAATGGAACAGGAAAGAAAATTCAGAAATAAACACAATAGTATGCTTAGCTAATTTTGAAAAAGTACAAGGTGACCAATAAGAAAGGACAGTCATGCCAGGTGTTGGTGGTGCATGCCTTTAATCCGAGCACTCGGGAGGCAGAGGCAGGCGGATCTCTGTGAGTTCGAGGCCAGCCCGGGCTACAAAGCGAGGGCCCGGATAGGCTCCAAAGCTACACAGAGAAACCCTGTCTCGAAAAAACAAAAGAAAGAAAGAAAGGACAGTCATTCAACAAGTTGAATTTCCACAAGCCAACAAAATATATTCTAAAAGTAACTCAAAATGTGTCAGGGATTTAAATGTAAGGTAGAACACTTAGGAAAAAACATTCAAGAATAATTTTCAGGAGTAAAAACCAAAATCTACAAGAAAAAAGAGTAGATATTTAGACTTCATCAAAATTAAAACTTTATTCTGCAAAATATTAAGAATAGGAAAGGCAAGAAATAACTTGTAAACTAAGTAATAATATCTGATCAATAGAAAAGATAATATGTTCAAAACTCAAAAATAAACAATCCCAGTAGAAAATAAAAATAGATATAAACACTGTCACTAAGGACAGTAAATAGAAGTAATTATGTGAAAATATATTGACCCTCATAAGTCATTGGGGAATACAAATTAAAACTGCATTGTGACATTCTTTATAGTTATAAGAATTGCTAAAGGAAAAATAGTAAAAATGCCAAATATGTTGAGGATGCAAACTAGATTTCTCATACAGTGACAGGAATGTAAAATACAGCTAGTTGCTGGGTAGAATTTGGAAATTTTTATAAAATTAAGCATACACTTAACATGACCTAGCAATCATACTATCTTGGCACAAAAACTTTTTACATATTTTTTCTTGGCAGCTTTCTCTGTGATAGCTGCAAACTAGAAACAACCTAAATGTTCTGCAGTTGGTAAACCATTCTTATCATGGACTACTACTCTGTAGTAGAAAGGAACACATTGGTAATATCTATATAAATTAGATGAGCCTTGGGGCATATAGTAAATGAAAAAAGTGAGTCTTAAAAGGTCACTTACTATATGGTTGCATTTCTAGAGCATTGTTGAAATGTCAGAATTAATGAAAAGGAAGAACAGGTTTCCAGAGTCAGGGACTGGGCTTTGTATAGCATACATATTGTTATTATGGTGTGACATAAGAGTTCATTTAGTCTTAAGAAACAATTTTGTATCTTAAATTTAGTGTTGTTATAAATCTGTTCCTGTGTTAGCATTTTATAGATTTATATACATAAAAATCAATGTATATAAAATCTAGTAGAAGTGAATAAAGTCTGTAGCTACTTAGCAATATATATAATGTTGGTTTTGAAATTCTAAAGTTGTAGAAGTCCTTACAACTATGACAAACTGTGTAAAGGGTACATGGGATTTTGTACTATTTTTACAATTTCTGTTAAGTCTATAATTATTACAAAATACAAATTTAAAGGTTTAAATAATAGGAAGTAAGGTTCCATTTTATGAAATAATAAGACTGATTGATGAGCCATGTGTAATGGCACATGCCTATAATTCCAGAGATCAGGAGACTGAGGCAGGAGACTTACCACAAGTTTAGAGCCAGATAGTTCCCAGCCAGTTGGGTTCCAGTGTGAGGCCTTGTCTTGGTAAAAAGGGGGAGGAGGGAAGGTGATAGAAAGAAGACCTGGGGTGGGGGAATAAAATGATTTGAATATTTAGCCAACTTATAAGCCAACTGTGAACACAAGACTGTTTCATTTTCATGAATAAAATGAGATGGTAGTAGTGACCATGAAGGGTACTTTTGATTCAGTGTTCATACTTTAAAAATGTTGATCATCAGAAAGAATAGTGATCTGCACAAGATACGATTATTTTCCCAGTTAGAAATATGTGGTTTACTGTAACAATAAGTCTTTACTCCATCCACTGGAGCCCTGCTGCCATGTGGGCGCTTTCCACCAGGCCACCTGAGTTCTGCCCACCACCACGTTATGGTCCCAAGTAACACAGAGAGACTTATATTAGGTACAAATGCTGCTTGGCCAATGACTAGGATTTCTCATCGGCTAGCTCAGTCTTAATTATCACAAATCTATATATTTTATAAGACTTATCTCATTGAGGACGCCTTCCACTGGCGTCCCCATCCCAGGATCACATGGCAGCTCAGAGCAGAGAGCAGGAGGAAGAGTGAAAGGGAATGGCTTCCTTCTTGCCCTTGCTTATATATGAGTCTCCCTGCTCTGTCACTTCCTTCCTGGATCACAAATTCTTTACTACATTTCCCAGAATCCTCCTTGACTCCTAGTCCTGCCTAACTTTTGCCTCATTGGCCAAACAGTACTTTATTTATCATCAAATAAGACAAACACATACACAGAAGCACTTCCCCCATCAGTTTACCTTTACACAAAATATTTTGTTCTAACACACAACCTTGAATCCTCTCTGATTCTGCCTTTTCAATGATTGTCAAACTGATTGAAACAGAAGGTACTTGTTTAGGTAGGTATGTTCTACCCCTGGTTTTTTAAAGCATCTTTTGAGATAGGGCCTCATGCTACAGCCCTTGTTAGCCTCAATCTAGATGGTTTCTTGCCTCTACCTCCTGAGTGCTAAGATTACAGACATACAACATTATGCCTGGCTGCTTCCTTATTTTCTATACATGGAATCTGCATTCTGAACTTATCCACACTGCCTTTGAAACCATTCCTCTAAAAGTCATCAATAACCTCTGTTAGTATACAGCTTGAGGGTGCCCTTTGAGTGGGGGACCATGGTGGATTCTATGGCAGGTGAGGGTGTCTGAGGTGGGGGACAAACACACCAAGCAGATAGACCTTAAGTGAGAAGTTTTATTGGAAAGGGAAGGGAAACAGATAAGTTTAAGGAAAGAGATGTAGAAAGTTTGGATATATGATAACTCCTTCCATTTAACTGTCCACTGGCAATAATTGGAAAGGTCCCATAAAATATCAGGATCTAAAGAGACATTAGGTGGCCAATTTGACTTATTATCTCCCAGTGGAGTGGATGGGTTTATTTTGTTGGTTTACTTTCCATGGGTGAGGCTAAAAATGGCACATGTCACTCTTGCAGCTCGTCACCTGAAAAGTGAGGGCCAAGGGAGAAGCCTGATAGGACTCCATAGTCTGAGAGTAGGCAGTAATCAAAAGTCGAATGCACTGCCCAGTGTAACAATGAGTCTTTCCACCAGCCACCCGAGCCCCGCAGGTGGGCCCCCAAATAACAGGTAGAGACTAGGTGCAATGCTGCTGGCCAATGACTAGTATTTCTTATACACTAACTCAGTCTTAATTATCAACCATAACTACTAATCTTTATATTTTATAAGACTTATGGAGGATGCCGGCGGAATGCGTCCTGTCTTCCTGGGATCACATGACGGCTCCACAGAAAGGAGGAGGAAGAGAACAACTTCCTGCTTGTCCCTGCTTATATTCTGAGTCTTCCTGCTATGTCACTTCCTGCCTGGATCACAGACTTTACTACATTTCCCAGAATCCTCCTTGACTCCTAGTCCCGCCGAACTTGCTGCCTCATTGGCTGAACAGTGCTTTATTCAACAACCAATAAGATAAACATATACACAGAAGGACTTCCCCATCATCTCTTTTCTGTCTAAATAAAACAAGGGTTTTACCATTAACATAGTAAAATATATAACAAAACAGTTATCAAGTAAGAACTGTAGTTACAATATTTAGTTCATTAACATTTAGCAAGATTTAAAGAAAATATTCTATCGTCTGTCCTGTCTTTGTGTGCCTAAGGTCTTATATGTAACTTATCTTTTATAAAAACTAAAGAAAACTATAACCATAACTATCTGTCTTCAATTCCATCAAAGACCACAGAAGGATAATATATAAACTTCAGATCTGACAGAGACATCTTGCTACCTGGACAGTCACCCAAAGTTCCTCTGTAACGTTGGGGCATCAGCCTATAGGCCACAGTGTGTCTAGCACACTTCTCAGTGAAGCAGGAACCCTTCAGGACTGTTCGTCTTGTTTTGTAAGCTCAGCAGTCACTTTCTTATGGGTCCTGCATGTCCAGTTTATACAGCAACAAACAGTCCAGGCAAGAGCAATTTCTTGCCCAAATAGCTAATCTTGCCATGTTGAAAGTAAACTCCATAATGAGTTTCTTCGATGCCCATCTTCCTCTCCGACATAATTGGTGTGCCAAGAGCAGTTGTGTCTCACTGTCAAGAAAAACCCTAAAGGTTTGAAGAATATCTATCCATCTCAAATACAACTCACAACTCTGTATATCTAGAAAACCTAACTAACCTAACTGTAATTTTTGACTCTTATAGGTGATTATATAATCTATTTAATTATGCATTACATTTTAAAAGATCTGTATTACACATTACCAAATAAGAGGAGAAATTTACATATCACAAAATTGACCTTAAATTTGTATCAATAAATGAAAATCCATACCAATGCAAAGTAGTCATTTCTATATCCTATTCCCCCTTTTTCCTTTAAAAAGAGATTGACTGTGATCATTACCATTTATAACTAACCCCATTTAAATGAAAACAAACATTTATAAACAATATTTCGGAATTTGGGCATCGTTCATTCCATACTGCTTCCTGCTGGTTGGGGAGCAATGTCATGGTCCTGAAAAAAAAAAAAAAACAGAAATCCTGGCTATAGTGGTCTATGACTGCATCATCTCAGCTGCTTTGGATATAGGATAAGTTGGGCCACTGCTTCAGGGGGTCTTGCTTGATCAAACCATATAGTCTGGAAGGAATCCATAGCTTTTCATTTTCTGTGGAAACACAAGTAGTCTGTCATTAGACTTAAATTTTAAATGCTTAAATGACTTAAATGCTTAAAGCCAAAGCATTTTTAAAATGTATAAGTTGGGTTAATTCAGCAACATTGATAACCAAACATATTGTAGCAGCTGTAACTCTTTCCTTAGCAATCTAACAATTTAAAGACAACAATATAGCATATACTATCCAGACTCTGTGTGCATTTTTCATATTTACGTTACTTTTTTATTACTCTATTTTTTTAATTTTATTTTTTCCTTTTATGAGACAGGGTTTCTCTGTGTAACTTTGGCTGCTCTTGAATTCACTCTGTACTCCAGGCACGCCTTGAAGTCACAGAGATCTGCTTGCCTCTGACTCCAGAATGCTGGGATTAAAGGCGTGTACTACCACTGCCCAGCTACTCTAATTTTTTTTGCCTCTGCTTCTGGAGTGCTGGGGGGACACCACACCCAGCTACTCTATTTCCTCCTGTTACTTTTTCTCTCACGAGCCTACATATACTTTTAAACACAGTGTAAAGCTTTACAGGTTTTTCTTTATCTGAATCTATCTTTATTGTAAATCTTTACCTTTTTCTGGCCGCGCAGTCTTTTAAGTGTTAAACAACACCGCCAAAATTAAAGTGGCGGCTTTTCTTTTTAAAGGAAAAAAGGGGAATAGGATATAGGAATGAATACTTTGCATTGGTATGGATTTTCATTTATTGATACAACTTTAAGGTCAATTTTGTGATATTTAATATCTCTCCTCTTATTTGGGTATTGTGTTTATACAGATCTTTTAAAATGTAATGCATAATTAAATACAGATTATATAGTCACCTATAGTAGTCAAAAATTACAGTTAGGTTAGTTAGGTTTTCTAGATATACAGAGTTGTATTTGAGATGGATAGATATTCTTCAAACCTTTCAAAAACCTACAGAAAACATGGCATTTAAATGGTTTAGGGTTTTTCTTGACAGTGAGACACAACTGCTCCTGGCACACCAATTAAGTATCACATGGCAGCTCAGAGCTGAGAGCAGGAGGAAGAGCAAAAGGGAACAACTTCCTTCTTGCCCTTGCTTATATATGAGTCTCCCTGCTATGTCACTTCTTGCCTGGATCACCACTTCTTTACTACATTTCCCAGAATCCTCCTTGACTCCTAGTCCCGTCTAACTTGCTGCCTCATTGGCCAAACAGTGCTTATTCAACAACCAATAAGATTAACATATATACAGAAGAACATCCACCATCAGCCCAGTAAGGTCGGCGCTAGACCTTGCTCATGGGGAGTTTACTGGAAGAGATAGTCATCGTGAGGGGATCAGCTGTAGCCTTGAAGTCTGTGGCTGGGTGCTCCCCTACATCCTAGAACACCAGAAGGGTGCCAGTCAATCAACAGTCACTCCTACAGGTCCAAGGATTGTTTACACTGAATGGGAGAAGTGGTACCTTACCAAATCATAGCCCGTGTTGTGTGGGTGGTCCCAGTGAACGGTTAGGTGGAAAGTGGGCTTTTGGTTCGGGATCAGGGTCTCCAAGTGTCTCTGGCTGCCAGCTGCTGGCTTTGGGCAGCAGGAGAAATTACAGAGAGCCATGCCTTCTTTCCTGCTCTTCTCCCTCTGCTCTCTTCTCTTTCTGCTCTTTTCCAGTTCTCTTT